ACGAGCCTTCCTTTTAATAATAACAATAATAATAATAATAATAACCTTTCCATAGGACCCACAAGAAATTGGAGTTAGCTCAGAAGTGTTCATAGAATGCTTTTAAAAAGCATCTTTGAGGGTCTGGAGCAATAGCACAGCGGGTAGGGTGTTTGCATTGCACGTAGCCGACGCGGGTTCAATTCCCAGCATCCCATATGGTCCCCCGAGCACCGCCAAGAGCAAGTCCTGAGTACATGAGCCAGGAGTCACCCCTGTGCATTGCCTGGTGTGACCCAAAAAGAAAAAAATTAAAAATTAAGAAAATATAAAAAGCATCTTGGATCTTAGAGATTGGTGAATGTAGGCAGATTCTGGGGAGAACGCAGTCAGTGATGTGTAAGAGAGAGGTCTAGCCCTGACTGTCACCCTATGGTCCTAACCAAAATGAATTCCTCTCCATTTGAAGTTTGATATGGGGTCTAAGAAGCAGGATCCATGAGTGGAAAGAACGTAGAGTGAAAACAATGATAAGAGGTTAGGGATATTTGGAGTAATCCCTGAAGTAACATTGTAGACTCAGAAATTTTGATAACTCAGGTATTTGAAATGTAGGAAAGAAAAAGATAAGAAATCTCAGATATTTGAAATGTAAGGGAAAAGACAGAAAAGAGTAAGATAAAATTTGATTTGGTTAGAAGAGGGGCCAGGTGGTGGGTGTGACCCCAGGTGGTGGGTGTGACCCCCGCCTACTGGAATTTGGAGGATCTGGGTGGAAGATGCTCGACTCCAATTCGAGTAGGCTTGGAGGTCTCGGCCCCGGAACCCGCGTGGCTTTGTCCCTCTGCCAGTACCTTCATGTGTGCGGAGACTGGTCTCAGCATGGTGGTGGCTGGTCGTGGAGGTCTTCGGCTGCTGGAGCCCCGGTCGGGGTGGGGAGGAAAGCTCGACCCGCTCCCCTCCAAGGGGTCCCGGCGAGGGACACCCAGGCGCGGGGGCAAAAGACTGCACTGTTCTTGTCCGGGATCTGGATTTTATAGTCTCTGAGTCTTGGCCGCTGATGGGATTACACGGCGCCAGGGGGCCAGGTGGTGGGTGTGATCCCCGCCTACTGGAATTTGGAGGATCTGGGTGGAAGATGCTCGACTCCAATTCGAGTAGGCTTGGAGGTCTCGGCCCCGGAACCCGCGTGGCTTTGTCCCTCTGCCAGTACCTTCATGTGTGCGGAGACTGGTCTCAGCATGGTGGTGGCTGGTCCTGGAGGTCTTCGGCTGCCGGAGCCCCGGTCGGGGTGGGGAGGAAAGCTCGACCCGCTCCCCTCCAAGGGGTCCCGGCGAGGGACACCCAGGCGCGGGGGCAAAAGACTGCGTGGGGTCACACCCACCACCTGGCCCCCTGGCGCCGTGTAATCCCATCAGCGGCCAAGACTCAGAGACTATAAAATCCAGATCCCGGATGAGAACAGTGCAGTCTTTTGCCCCCGCGCCTGGGTGTCCCTCGCCGGGACCCCTTGGAGGGGAGCGGGTCGAGCTTTCCTCCCCACCCCGACCGGGGCTCCGGCAGCCGAAGACCTCCAGGACCAGCCACCACCATGCTGAGACCAGTCTCCGCACACATGAAGGTACTGGCAGAGGGACAAAGCGGCCCGCGCGACATCTTATCAGAACTTTTCTTTATGACATCTTATTATCTCATTCCTACTTTGGACAAACTTGCAGGCTATGGAATGTAGCCTGCCCACAGGGCAGAGTCTGGCAAACTCCCCATGGCGTACCAAATATGCCAAATACCAGTAACAATGATGGGGCTCATTCTCCTAAAGAGCCGTGAATGTAATGTCAGGGCTAGGATGAAAGGGACGTTACTGGGGCCTGCTCGAGGCAATCGACGATTAACAGGATGATGAAATGAAATGAAATGAGAAGAGGGGCAACACAATAATGGTGAGCTCTAATATATTACTAGACAGCATTTTAGGCAGATGAAACAAAACTATTATGATAACCACAACAAATCCTCCAATACAAATGTAACTCCAGCTTTCTATTTCTCAGCCTTTTCAAGCAAAACTCAGACCACACATTAGTTCATGCGTAAATTCTAATTTTTTGATAATTAATGGATAGAACCCGTTTTAATGTCAATAAATCATAATAAAGTAAAAGTAAAAGTAAAGGCCCTCCCGTTGATCATCGATTTGCTCGAGTGGGCCCAGTAACGTCTCCATTGGAGACTTTGTTGTTACTGTGTCTGGCATATCGAATACTCTCGGTAGCTTGCCGGGCTCTCCAAGAGGGGCGGAGGAATCGAACTCGGGTCGGCCATGTTGGCTGCGTGTAAGGCAAATGCCCTACCCACTGTGCTATCGCTCCAGACACTCAAAGATGCTTTTTAAAAGCATTCTATGAACACTTCTGAGCTAACTCCAATTTCTTGAGGGTCCTATGGAAAGGTTATTATTATTATTATTGTTATTATTGTTCCACTTCCAATCCCTTTTTGGTTCCTGACCTGTGACAACTTAACATTACTTTCAGTCTCTTCTGACCAGATTAGCACCCCCACCCGTACCACCCAACCTTATTGTACAAGACCCATCTGTGAATCCATACAGACCATCTACCATAACTATAATCCCTTGATCAATCCACTTCCAAGGTGATCACGTCTTCCTGCTTACCTAGAACAGTTCAAGGACCTTTGCTCTGCGTTTCTTCAGGGCTGGTCTCTGACAGATCTCTTCGAAGACAGCAGGACACCAGGCTGATAGCAGTTTGTGCTCTTCTGTTGTGAGCAGGGCATTTATAGGCAACTAGGTGGGTCTAGGACATTGTTGACACTCTTTAAGGTGTGGCGGATCCTCCCCCAGGTAGGAGGACAGAACCAACAGGAGCTAAAAGGATATTCTGAGTTTCTGATTAGTGGTGAGGCACAGAAGAATCTCTCAGGATTGAACCAGTACCGGGTGTCATTGTGCTGTGCTAAAATGCATGTTTTCATTTGCACTGAATTCTATTGCTAAGGAAGAAAGTGAAATCTGAAAGTATATGTCAGGAGGTTCATTTTGCCCCCATTGAATTATTAATTGGACACAGCTTTTATCTCTCTTCACAACCAGCAGTTTCCTGTTGCCTAGAGGTCTTTGAAAAATTGCTTTCCACCTAATAGGTGAAAGATATTAGTTGATTTAAAAATAATCTCACCAAAGGCTGAGGAAATAGTACGATGGGTAGAGAGCTTTCCTTGCACACTGCCACCCAAGTTTTGATCCTGGCATCCCGTATGGTTGCCAAGCACTACCAGGAGTAATTCATGAGTGCAGAGACAGGATTAAACTCTGAACATCGCTGGGTGTGGCCCCAAAACCAGAATAAATAGATTAATAAATTAAAGAACTTCAGCTGCTATACCGAAAATCTTGATTTTCTAGTCTCTACATCTTTGATAGTCATTTTGCTGAAGAGAAAATTTAGAAATCTCTGGAAGACTTTTTGAGTTCTCTCTTTTATAATGTTTAAGAAATGAATCCAACGGCAAGACCAGGAATCAGTTTGAATTTTTGGGAGGCCGCACCCAGCAAAGCTCAGGCGTTACTCCTGGCTCTGGGCTCAGGAATCACTTCTGGAGAAGCCTTGGGATCCATGTTCAAGACAAGTGTGTTGGAACACTGTACTGTATCTCCAGCCCCTCAGTTTTCATTTCTATGTCAGCAAGAGTCCCTTGGCCCTTTTTTGCCTAACATTTCTCTCTGCTTCCGCCTATTCAGCTTCCGCATGGTGGCTCCATTGCTTCATAAAAAAAAAAATGCTATGTCAGTTTCTGCACACAGTAACATAGGAGAGAATTAAAATTTATACTTTGAATATTTGGATGGAGCAATAGCATAGCGGGTAGCACGTTTGCCTTGCATGCAGCCAACATCACTGACCTGAGTTCGATTCCTCTCTCCCTCTCAGAGAGCCTAGCAAGCTCCCGAGAGTATCTCGCCTGCACAGCAGAGCCTGGCAAGCTCCCAGCGCACAGTAACAACAAAGTCTCCAATGGAGACGTTGGGCCTGCTCCAGCAAATCGAGGAACAACTGGAGGGCCTTTACCTTTACCTTTACCTATACACAGTAACAAGTCTCACAATGGAAACGTTGCTGGGCCCACTCGAGCAAATCGATGAACAATGGGAGAACAGTGACAGTGATATTGTACTCAAGAGGATGTTAGTACAAACATGAACGTTAAAGGTGCCTATAGTGTGGGCTCATAAGGAGATGAGGAATACACTATTTGAAACTAATTTGGTCCCCTGAGTGATCCTTGCTTAGGCATGAAGTTGGAAGTCAGCCCTAACCTGCTTGTGAAAAAACAAACCAAACCAAACCAAAACAAAACAAAGCAGAAAACATAATGGAAAGAAAAAAAAAGTTTTATAACTAACCTCATTATATGCATGTATATGCAATATGAATAAAATAATATTAGATATAAAACCCTCAAAACATACAAAATAGGCAATCACAGTTCCACCACACAGAATTAAAGATAGGGTGTACTGTCTATTCAGATTTTTTGTCTATGTGGAAATGTCAGCCACTAGTTAAATATCATACTTACATATTCTTCCAAAAAATTGGAAATCTTTTATCATTCTTCCTTTCATAAAAGTAATGTTTTTGGTATCATTAAAATTAGTGAACATTGATTCTGTAACATCAAAATTGATGAAAGTCAAATCTTCCAACCTCACAGATAATGTATTATATAATAACAATTGTGAACTTTTGCAATGCTTTCAAAATACTTTACTGTTGCACAGAAGACCTGAATTATCTTTTACATTTTAAAAATTTTTTGTTTTATTTACAACAAATAAGGGTACAATTATTTCTATATACAAGGACTTACTAAAAAAGAGAACGTTGCTCCTTCATTGCCCCTAAATATGAGTATCTATGCAACCGTTTCATCATGGTTACATCAACAGTTTTCCACTTAGAGTGGGAAAATAAACCCAAGGGATTATCCTCCCTTTAAACTCTCCCCACGCCCACGGAGAGAGGGGCGCAATCGTTCCCCACGCTGAAGTAGGGCTTGAGCTCTTGAGCAAAGGGCTCTGTGAATGAGTGCAGGTGACATCTGTTGGCTGCATTGTAGAAGGAAAGCTGGCCCAGCTCCCAGTCCAGGTAAACGCTGATGGCCCCTGGCTGGTCCCTGAGAGCCAGAGGCACGGCCCCCACGCCCACAGCCAAGTAGTTGCCGTCCAGCAGCTGCAGCGTCCAGCATCTCTTGGGAGCTGGAAAGGGCCGCGGGGCCTGGGCTGAAGCGGGGACGCTGCACACGCCCATGGCCCACTCGGGCTTGGCGCCCACCTGCACCTCCCAGTAGTTGCCGCCAGAGGCGAAGCCCTCCCAGCCCAGGACCACCAGCTGGGCGGTCCCATCACAGGATTTGGGGTCCCCATCCCCTTTGGACCTCTTCCTCACGCAGGTCAACGACTGGAGGTCCTGGGACACGCGCAGGCTGGGGTGTGCCGTGTGGGGGTCCAGGCTGATGCGCTCTCGGAATCTCCGGATGATGCTGCTGAGCACTGAGCACAGAAGAGGGAGGCTGTAGGCCACAGGCCTGAAGCGCAGGGGCTGCATGACCGGTGGCTCCAGGCCCTCCCAGCGCTGCTTCAGGACCTTCACCCTCCTCAGCACCATCTCATCGGACATCACGCTCCGCTCGGCCACCTCCTTTCTGAGGTCTTTCAACATTGAAATATGGTCTGAGTAAAGAGCGACGTTGGCCCTGAACTGCTGCTGCAGGTGTTTGTCCTCTTTGGCCAGCCTGCAGAGCGCTGCCTCTTGATCACGCTCCACAAACTTGGTGAGCTGCTCAAATTCCGAGGCCAACTGACTGTTATGCATTCTCACCTCCTCTCTCAGCTGCAGGAGCTTTCTCTCTTGGATGACTAAGAGCTTCTCCACCTTTGCCAGCTGTGTCTTCAGGGACTCGATGTAGCCACTGAGCCTCTGTCTGTACTGATGTGCAACCTCCTCCAGGGGCCTGACGTGGTGGCCCTGGTGGACAGGGCCCTGGGCGCACAGGGGGCACACCGGCTCCCGGTCGTCCTCGCAGAAGAGGCTCACTCCCTGCCTGTGCTCCTCACATCTTCTCTCCTCTGCCCGCGCCATATCGCTGCTCCCAGAGCTGTGCAGGAGCTTGACCAGGTCCACAAGCCTGCCCAGCTGGGCGTTGCCAGTGATACGCATCTCCTGGTGGGTCCGCCGGCACACGGGACAAGGGAATGTGTCCTGCAGGTCCTTCCATGACATGCGGATGCAGGAGTCACAGAAGTTGTGGTTGCAGTCGATGGTGACGGGGTCATTGAGGTAGTCCAGGCAGACAGGACAGATGAACTCTGGCTGAATTTTGACCAGGACAGCGGACACCTCCTCCATCCTCGGGTGTGGGAAGGGCAGGTATGGGTCAACAGGCAATCCTTATAGATAGGGGCTCCTTGGATTCTCTCCTACCAGAAAAGAGTCACACAGTTAGACCTATGTCCTGGACTATGTTTTTCTCTCAATGAGGGTTGCCCTCTGATGACCCAGCACATCTCTGGTCTCAGGGTTGGGTTCTCAAACGATATTCACATACCTTGAGCAATTGAGTGTAGATGGTTGGGGGGTCTGAAGAGAAGTCAATCTCAATATCTCTCTGGACTCAAAATCTGTCATTACTGTGCAGTGCTAATAAGTTCTGCTGGGGATGATTAGATGAGGGCATTCCTAACGCTTCCTAAGAAGGGATGGGATCATTCCATTCCAGAGCCAGCTTCCTCCCATTCTAATGAGCCTCTGATTATCCTATTTGCCTGCTTTCTCCCAGACTACCTCCAGTCTCACCAACCTTGAAGAGACTCACGGACTAGAGCTTCTGGAGTATTCCACCTCCATAATGTGGAGTGGGAAACTCCAGCTAGATCACAGCGATGAAAACTAACATCTGGGGCTTAGTATAAGGTACATTAATATCAGATCCTCTGTGAGGTACTGTCTAGACTCTGTGCACCATAAAGAAGCCATAGGAGTTAAGCTTTAGCCCCAAATAACTGCAAATCCCCTCATTGATTTCTACTCACACGAGGGGGACCTCAGCTGGCAGTCTTAGATGATGGCGTGATCTGACTCTCCTTGCAGGGTCGTGGAGGTCACACACTGTCTGCTCATGACAGCATCCACAGCATTTATGTACTGTTCACTGACTGGGTCTCTCTTCTTTAGAGACCCACCCAGGAAAGATGGATAGGGAGGGAGGGAGAAAGTGGGGGGCGGGACTTTTGGTGGACTTTCAGAGCTTTGATTGGACTGGGATATACTTTCCTAATAAATCGATCAAGGTGAGTTGTGGGATCTTTGTTAATATGCATAATCTAATTTCAGTCTGTAAATTCTTCCCTAAATCTTTCTTAATCCTCCTAATTTTGTCCTTGTTGAGGAAGAAACGGGGTAAGCCATGGGATCACAATAAAATAGAAGAAAAAGGAACGAACAGACTAAACTTAGACCTAAGCTGAATGGTCATTCTCTCTCCAGGGATGGGAACCTAGGTATATCATTTTCTCCTTAGATTCTGCAGTGGCATCATTTTTTCTCTAACATGTTAAAATTGTTCCCGACTGTCAGCTAATATATGTGCTTTTTCAAAAATAGCACTGATTCTTCTCCAGGTGTTTCTCCTGGCTCTTCACTCAAGGATTACTCCTGATGTGCTTGAGGACTATATGGTATAGTGAGGACTCAAACCCGAGGCAGCCTCATGCAAGGCAAATGCCCTAATCACTGTATTATCTCTCCAGTTCCGTTCGTCCACACTTTAAAACAACTTTTATCTTCGTTAAAAAAATTTCATTAAGGTACCGTGATTTAAAAAAGTCATTCGTAGTTGAGTTTCAGCAATACAGTGTTCCAACAACCAATCCCATCACCAATGTGAACTTCCCTCAATCAATATTCACAGCTTTCCTCCAGATAGCACAGCGGGTAGGGCGTCTGCCTTGCACGCGGCCAACATGGCCGACCCGAGTTCGATTCCTCCGCCCCTCTCGGAGAGCCCGGCAAGCTACCAAGAGTATTCGATATGCCAGACACAGTAACAACAAGAAAAAATAGTTATCAATATCTATGCTAAATGATTATATCCAGCACTGATAAGTATATATTTATTAATACTTAGAGTCAAGAACTGTAACAGTAGTTTCCTTTCAAATCTATGTAACGGGGGCTGGAGAGTAGGTAAGGTGCTTGCCTTCCATGTCGCTGACCCAGGTTTGATCCTGTCACCCACTATGGTCTCCTGCCTGAGCCTGCAAGGAATAATCCCTGAGTGCAGATCCAGGACTAAGCTACATAGTAAGGAATTTGTTTTTATACAGCCAATTAGGGCTGGAGTGATAGCACAGCGGGTAGGGTGTTCGCCTTGCATGCAGCCAACATGGCCAACCCGAGTTTGATTCCTCCGCCTCTCTCGGAGAGCCTGGCAAGCTACTGAGAGTATCTGGCCCGCACGGCAAGCCTGGCAAGCTACCTGTGACATATTCGATATGCCAAAAACAGTAACAGCAAGTCTCACGATTTGTTGTGAGATGTTACTGGTGCCCGCTCGAGCAAATCTATGAACAACGGGAGGACAGTGCTGGAGTACTACAGCCTAGTGGGATTTGATCCCCAGCATCACAAAGGGTCCGGAAGTCACGCTTGAGTATAAGCCAGAAGTAAGCCCTGAGCACAGCTGTGTCTGGATTTAAAAATAAATAAGTTAAAAATAAAACACTTACCACCACCAGTGGGCTGGAGCGATAGCACAGCGGTAGGGCATTTGCCTTATGCGCAGCTGGCCTGACTAAGCCCGGTTCAATTCCTCTGCCAATCTCGGAGAGCCCGACAAGCTACCAAGAGTATCTTGCTCTCACAGCAACGCCTGGAAAGCTACCCGTGATTTATTCAATATGCCAAACACAGTAACAACAAAGTCTCAAAATGGAGTCGTTACGAAGCCCGCTCGAGAAAATTGATGAACAATGGGATGACAGTGACAGTGACGCCACCAGTAATGACCCAACACTACATTCCAAATATTCTTTCTAGTCACCTTAGATCCTAAGTCTTCACATAGTCCAGACATGTATGGTACCACTGTATTACTTCCGAGGCCCACATTTATGTGCTTTTCTACTTCCTGCTTAGAAACCTGGTCTTAAACTCTAGATCTATAATGGTCACTTGACATTTTCACCCAGAGTCAAAGGAAGAGCAGCAAGTTTACATGCTCCCCAGAACCCAGTTCATTGATACTTGTAGCACTGTAGTACTGTCCTCCAATTGTTCATTGAATTGCTCGAGCGGGCACCAGTAAAGTCTCCATTGTGGGACTTTTTGTTACTGTTCTTGGCATATAGAATACGCCACGGGGGAGCTTGCCAGCCACTTCCATGTGGGTGGGATACTCTTGGCAGCTTGCCTGACTCTCAGATAGCAGCGGAGGACTCAAAACTGGGTCAGCTATGTGCAAGGCAAATGCCCTACCTGCTGTGCTATCGATCCGGCCCGAAATTCTATGCTAAACTTTATAAATCCCAATTTTTGGACAGTCACAAATTTGTCATTCTCTCTATGATTCAAGAAAATCAGCTGAAAGGAAAAGTGAGAATTTGAACTGTGGACACTAGCTAATTAGGGATTTATTACACACTTAACCTATCTTTGTGGAACCTGTGCTCTTTTTATGCTTTAGAGTTACATACTGAGGTACTCAGAAATGTGCCTGACATTAGAAGTAGGGGAAGACTGTGTTTGAGATGGAAACATTTGTAACCATTTACATGAGGGTCATTCTACTTTTGTGTATATTTTAACTTTACCTTCTTAATCACTTAAAATCACTTAACTTCCCGTTAGTCGTCGATTTGCTCGAGCGGGCGCCAGTAACGTCTCCATTTGTCCCTGTCGCGTGCTAGTGTAGCCCAATGGCATCTCTTCGCTCCGGGAACATGGAGGGCATCAAACCGATCGTTCATGACCTTGACAAAGAAGTCTGACCATCTGGTAGGTGGGCGGCCACGCGGTCTCTTGACATCCCGTGGAATCCAATCAGTAACAGCTCTAGTCCAACGGTCGTCTTTAAATCTCATTACGTGACCAGCCCATCTGATTTTCGACACCTTGGCAAATGAGACAGCGTCCCTGATCCTTGATCGTCGACGGATGTCAGAACTCCGGATTCGTTCTCTCATTTGAGTGAAACGTGATATTCCAAGCATAGCTCTTTCTATTCTTCTTTGGGAGACCTGAATGGCGTTCTCATCTTGTTTGCATAGGGCCCAGGTCTCTGAGGCATATGTTAATGCAGGAAGAACAGTGGAATCAAAGAGATGTGCCCGGAGCCGGAGGTTCTTCGTCCTCTTAGCTATTTCTTCGATGTTCTTGAAGGCGTTCCAAGCCGCTCTCTTCCTCCTGCGCAGCTCGGGTGCCAGGTCATTTGTCATGTTGACCTCTCGACCTAGGTACACATAGCTGTTGCATTCGGAGATGGTCGTTCCATTGAGAGCGAATGGGGCGTCAGGAACAAGGCTGTTTCTCATAAACATTGTCTTCGTAAGATTCAGCTGTAGTCCTACCTTTCCACACTCACGGTCAAAGTCGGCCAGCATTTGTGCCGCTTGGCTGATGTTTGGTGTTATTAAAACAATGTCATCAGCAAAGCGGAGGTGGTGTAGTTGCCGACCATCTATCTTCACTCCCATTCCTTCCCATTCCAGTCGTCGCATGATGTTCTCGAGGGTGGCACTGAAGAGTTTTGGTGAAATGGTATCACCCTGCCGCACCCCTCTCTTGACATCAACGATCACTTCTTTGTAGAATGGTGAGATCCTGGTAGTGAATCCGCAATACAGCTCACGGAGGATCCTGATGTATTGGGTTTGAATGCCCTGATTGGCTAGGGCTTCAATGACCGCTTCCGTCTCAACAGAATCAAAGGCCTTCTTTAAATCAATGAACGTTAAGCAGAGCGGCATCTTGAACTCCCGAGAAACCTCAATGAGTTTGGTTATTGTGTGGATATGGTCGATGGTGCTGAATCCTTTGCGGAACCCTGCTTGCTCACATGGTTGTCCTTCATCTAGTGTTCTGCCAATCCTATTCAGGATGACTCGAGTGAACAACTTGTAGATGACAGACAATAGGCAGATCGGGCGATAGTTGCCAATGTCATGGATGTCTCCCTTCTTGAACAGTAGTACGGTCCTGCTGGTTTTCCATTGAGATGGAACCTTGCATTCAGACAGGTAGCGAGTGAAGAGCCGAGCCAGTGTATTGATGAGTACTGACGGCAGGTTCTTCAGGTGTTCAGGTCTGACCTTGTCTGGGCCGGGTGCTGTTTGCTTCTTTACTGACGAAAT